TTTTTATAATCTTTTTTATTTTTATTTTTTATATATTATTGTTGATTTCGCAAATTGTCCCTAAATTATTATGATAAATGCCTTAGAATTAATAAAATAATATTTGGGCAAAYATAAATTGGGGTCCGTTTCGATTATATGGATCCGAATGCCTCGATGGCCTATTAATCTGATCTTCTCTGATGTAATTACGGGCTTACGCTAATTTAATCCGTTTTAGGGTTCAAACGTTATCGAGGGCAACCAACGGTAGACTCAGGAAACGTGCTGTTTCGTAGGAGTTGGACCAAAGGAGTTGAAAGGGGTCTCAGATGTGTAAGATTAGCTGGACTTGTTGGCATGTTGGCCATATACTTGGGAAGTCGGGGTCGATTCTGGGTAAATCGGAGTTTAACCTGTTACAGTAACCAGAATGCAACCGCGTAAGGATCACTTTCAATTCTCGCGACAGTTCGAACTCGTCGTCTGCAATGAGTGGTGGTAAATACAAGTGAGTAGGTGAAGGTGTTGATGGCTTTAGAGCACCTGAAGTCTGGGCGACGAACTGTTCGAAACCATCAACGAGTCAAGAAAAGATGGATCAGCACATGTGACAGATTTTTAAAAGGGTTCCTTCACAACTTTAATATGTTTTCAAAATGTACAGGTAATGTTGTCTTGAGATACTTAAAGTTTTTTTTTGACAAATGCCGACCTGTAGCTCTATTTTGACCGCCTTTTAAGTAGAATGGCTTGGTCTTAGTAACATACTCCTAATAAAAGCAAAAAGCATTTTTTCAATTAACTTCCAAAGCATGAGCATAGGCCTAATCTATATTTTTAGAATAAATATTTGCTTGATTTATAAGTTATTGTCTATTTATTGACTCTGTGCTCATTGCAAAATACTTCGACTATCAATTTGACTCGTTTCAACTGGTTAGATTATCGGCATGGCTATAAAGCTGTGCACACAATAATGCAGACACAGGACCGACACTTCGAGTGGCGCATCGAAGTTCTTATGTCTGCAACTGCCGCCCCTCAGCTGCAACGCTGCTTTATTGGCCCAATTTCCAGTTGCAGTGCCAACACAAGGGTTCAGTTACGCCATGCGAGTCGAGTCTGGTCGAGTGTTGGTCGTTAGAATCATATCTACTTAAGTGTTCCATATTCAGCGCTTGCACAGACATACCTACAAATGTCAACTACATTCAACATGCGCGTGTGGTCATATTAACTAGTCTATGCCGCAGATAGCACCTGGTAAGGCGAGGCGTTATGAAGCCATGGGCGGTCAAGATTGTCGCGCACAAACGATTAGAAGCAACAAAAAGAAAATAATGCGATTTTGGCATGAATGGGGTCTAGATTTGCTGGGTGCAAGCATTAGTTTGCTATATAAGGTGCGCCGATTACCAACCGACTGCACAGTTTGTGGCCGGTTCTGTTTCGGTCTAGTGTTCTTGATTGTGTGGTGTGTTCTTGGAAATAAGTTTTCATTAAAAGTGGTTTCAAAAAAAGTAAATATGTTGTGGAAAACTACCACATTTTCATTAGCCATCAGCTATTTTGTGCTATGTGGATTTACGACGGAAGTTAGAGCCGGAGGTTTGTGGTACTTTATATACTTTTATACAATATAAACAGAAAAGATTTGGTTGAAAAGCGACGGAAGAATGAAATACAATGGCAGGAGCTGTTCCCAAACATGACTTAAAATATCTTATAACATAATTCTTGAAAAGTGAAAGAGGGAAACTGGGGAATTTTGATTAAAGAAAAAACAAACGCTTATAGGCTTACTAAGTGCTCGAAATCTGAAGCTCGATTTCTGAAGCTAAGCCGACAATTTTTAGTCACATTTACTTTTAAAAAGTCGAATCTCGTTCCAAAACTTGCTAGCATGTCAAGTTTTGGAATGAGATCGCTCCGATCATAGAAGATAGATAGATTGCATGACATCGCTTCTGGTGCCAAGAGTGTATAAAACGGCTGTACAGTCTATCAGTTCACAACATAGTGCAGCTCATCTGGGATGGTAGGACCCGAACTCTTCCTACAGCGTCTGTTGTGTGTAACGTAACCTGCTGACGACAATCTTACCCCACGGCGCTCAAATGCACAGCGGATCAAATCTGAGGTACTTTGGTACCGGCACCGGGTTGCAATGCAACTTCACATTCAACTGACAAAGTGTCAGATCTTCTCGCATTAGGGTTTTAACCACAATCACCAGGATACTTCCCGAGGGTTAGAGCGAACTCCAAGAGCTCTTGCTCTCCGTGGTACCAGAATTACGCTTCCGGTCAGACCTCGTAGCCAAAACAACTATCAGTTGAGATAATCCGCCGTATAATAGGTCCCCATATAATAAATGTGTTACTTTGCAGGGAGAAAAACTCACAGGTCTGCGACAATCAAAGTTACCATTAGAGGTTTACACCCTTACTGGCATTAAAAGTATAATTAATCTCCCTAGAAACTAATTTCGTCTACTTTTGGCATTTTACAACGGTCAAGGCTTAAGAAGCTCTGCTTCAGATGGGGTCTTGTATAAACTGCTGTTTCTACGACATAGAGTCGAAAACTTCCGAGGACCTGATTTTAGACTGCATGACAATATGGACGAATATGAATTACACCGCTTTAGTGGCATCTATCCGGGCTAAGCCTTTATAAGTCTGTGTGATAGAGGCAAAAGACACAATAAACGTCGGTAGAGTAGACAATTTTTATAGAATAAAAGAGCTTTTAACCTGTTTTTAAGCGCAGTCTCACTWTATATACCTTCTTCAGTGTGTTAGTATTATCATCATGTTCCAACAGTCTCTTCTATCGAGTGCCAATAGAAGTTTTGTGTACTTCCGATCTAACGTTTGGCATATGACATATGCAGTTTTGCACTGAGTGGTGAGTGGCCTGTCACCGAGTAGAAGAGAAGTTACTACTGGAAACACTTTCTACTGCTTCCAAAGAACTCAGCTTGAAATATATTGCAGGAGTCCGGTAACTTAAAAGGTTGCMTTTTGCCTAATTCTGGACAGAATATTCTCGCACCAACTCCACTTAAAAAATATATGATTTTTGTTTTCTCTGTTTGTTCGATTCGTCACTCTCTGACRTTTGACAATCGAAGCCTATTTATATAAACTCTTCGCATAAAAAAAAGAAATAAAAAGCACTTCTTCACTTTTCCTYTATAAATTGCAGCTCTTGTCATAGCTACCAGTTTGCTCTGAGTTCCAACTATTTCATTCGAGATCTATCGACMAAATACCCATTGCAGCTCTCTAAACTTTATAAAACCATTCTTTTTGTCATTTCTGATGTCTTCTCTTGCTAGCTTGCATTATTCCGCAACCACTGAAGGGTCAAGAAATGAATTTGGTACGTGTGGATAATGAAGCTTTACCTTCCGATGAAGTTTTGCCGCGTCCACGCCTAGACGGACGTATTGTAGGTGGCTACGAAGTGAATATTACGGATGCACCACATCAGATTTCGCTGCAAACAAGTGGCGGACATATTTGCGGCGGTTCTATAATAGCGGTAAATTGTGGGGAAGTTAAAAATTAGGTTTTCAAATTTAAACTTGTACTTAATTCTCTTCATAGCCACGCTGGGTGCTTACAGCCGCCCATTGTACTGAGTAAGTTTCCTCCAACACAACCTTATTTCTTGTTTCAACTTCTTCTACAAGCAATATTCTAATTCTACCACTTTACTCTTAACAAATACAGAGGTAAAACCGCCGAGAAATTAAAAGTGCGTATCGGCTCCTCAGAGGCATCTAGCGGCGGCCAATTGCTACGCGTCAAGCAGATTGTACAGCATGAGAAGTTCAATTACTCCAATGTCGATTATGATTTCTCACTGCTGCATCTGGAGAAGGAAATACAGTATTCCGACAATAAAAAGGCAATTAAGTTACCCGACGAGAAGGATCAGTTTATGGATGGCGATATCTGTTATGTGACGGGCTGGGGCAATACACAGAATGCCAGCGAGTCACGTCAGTGGTTGCGTCAAGCTGAAGTGCCGCTGTTCAATCACGAACTCTGCTCCGAGAAATACAAGCAATTTGGCGGCGTAACAGATCGTATGGTTTGTGCTGGTTATTTGGAGGGTGGCAAGGACGCCTGCCAAGGTGATTCGGGTGGTCCACTGATTACCAAAGATGGCGTGCTGGTGGGTGTGGTGTCCTGGGGTTATGGTTGCGCTAGACCTGAATATCCTGGCGTGTATTCCCGTGTGCAATTTGCGCGTGATTGGATACGACAGCATAGTGAAGTTTAAGTTCGGAGATAGAAGGGAATTATTATAAAAACTTTCAGGGATTATTTAGTTCTTAATCATTTATTAAACGAAGATTTTGAATTTAATCTTCAAATGTTTTACTAAATAAAATATAAAAAATTATATTGAAAAAATTGTAATTAAGTTCTGCTCGTTATTGATTTCATTCTAAGCCTAATTTTTTGGGATTTTAATAAAAGGATTTCAACATGAAAAACTTTTCTTAACTGGTATTAGCCCAAATTAAACTAACTTGCTATAAACACTTCGGCTTCCACTTAAATTGTTCATAGCTTCGAAGTTTGGATTATGAATAGAATGAAGTTGYCCACCGTGACCAGATATTTCGTATAGCGYTTTCTACCTGCAGAGACATTTGTTTCCTTTTCTTTAGATCGATTTTGCTGTGTGATACTAGTGCATTAATTAAGGATCAGTCTCTCACACGACGTTCTCAAGAGTTGGGCATCTCTGTGAGGTGGTTGTGATGAATTTTGCGAAAAGATCTTGACCTACATCCTTACAAGATCAAATTGACGCTAGACCCGAAGCCACTTGACCACCAGAATCATCGTATGTTCGTGAATTGGGCTGAGCAACAACTTGAAAATGAGCCGGGTTTTCATCGAAAAATCATCTTAAACGGGCTTAGGGATAGGTCTTATTTCTGGTTGAATAGCTTCGTCAATAAGMAAAATATGCTTTATTGGTCAAGTAGCAATCTACACATACTGACTCATGGCACCTTTGCATCCCGAAAAAGTTGCAGTTCGGTGCGGTTTATGGGTCGGCGACGTCATTGGGTCGTACTTCTTCTGTGATGATAAAGACCGGTACGTAACTGTGAATGGGAATCGCTACCGCTCATGGTAACCGAATATTTTTGGCCCGAAGCCCRAAGTCTGAGACTTGGACAATATGTGATCCGAATGGGACGATGCCACAAGCCACACAATGAATGTCACAATCGATTTATTGAAAACCAAGTWTGGTAGACGTGTTATTGTACGAAATGGCCCAGTAAATTGGCCGCCTCGGTCGTGTGGTTTGATGCCGTAAGACCTTTTCCTGTTCGCCTACATCAAGTCCATTTATGCCAAGAAGCCAGCAACGCTTGATAAACTTCGTGAGAATATCGAACGTGAAAGTGCAGCAGGATCGGCCGATTTAAAAAACGAAATTGAGCTCCATACATAATGGCATCGAATGTACTTTCACAGAAATAAAGAATTTCATTAATATCCCAACTGTTTGTTAACTGCTTTTATTGAAAAACCCGTTACCTCTTGGAATAATAGCTTGAGGAAACTATTTTCAACTGCTTTTACATGAGCTCTCTCCTATTTAGCCATGGTACCCTACAATTAGGTCTCACTTATCAAGTTCTACGGTTGTCAAAACAGAATGTAAACGATTTATTTTACTGTAGATTATATTTACCTTGATTCTCTGAACAAATCAGGTCTTCCTAATGCAATTCTTRACTACAAAACTTTCGAATTACAATTAGGTTTTTCGCATTTTCCCAGTATTATATATAAATGTAGTATTATATCTTTGTTTGTGGGCGCTAGATCTTTACACAGAATACGTTGACCAACAGTAGCAGCACAACAACATTGCTTTTGAATGTCAATGTCAAAAGTTAAATTAAAATAAGTCGCGTTCGTTGTAAGAAATTGAGATTCAAACTACGTCACGTGGTCTGACGTAGGCGTAAAGTCACGGGTAAAGTTGTAAATGCAATGGAAACAGCAGCGCAGTGCTACACATATATTTTTGAATTGAAACTTTACGCAACTGTAAGTTCTTAGTGGAAATTTTTTAGCGACGAGTCATTAAGCGATTCGGTAATTAGTMAAATGTGTGAAACTGTGTGTAAGTGTGGAAGTCAAAGAAAGGTGTTTTTCATAACGCCACAAAGAGTACTACGCAAAAAAATTAAAGAAAATTATTGATGAATTTAATGATCATATGTTGAAGTGGCTTATGACGGCATGAGCTAAAGTGTGAATTTTACATTTATTTTAGCATCTTATWCTAACTTTTCGCAGCAATTAAGAGCGTAAACATGCATTAATGAGGCGAATATTATCTTCCAAGGCGTCAGACAGCTCGGGCTTAACAGCATATACAAACGACTTGACATAACCCCACAAAAAATGTTCGGCGGTGTTAAATCGGACGATTGTGAAGACCACACTACAGGCTAAAGACGCGAGATAATACGCTCAAAAGAAAAAAAGACTGGGTTCTCCGGTTAGAGGGAATCATTGATCCATGAACAATTATCATTATGGCTGGCTTCATTTTTCATGGATCAATGTTTCCCTCTAACCCGAGAACCCAGTTTTTTAATTTCGAAAAGTGAATCAGATAACTAAAATTTTCAGGAATGAGAACTAAAAATCATGAATATGCGACGGAATGGTACGTTAAGTTCAAAATTYGATCTACAAGATTTTAAGGGTCTAAACTGCCTTAAAAAGCGAACAGAAATATTAAATTTAAGTTCAGGCAGAAAAAAAGAAAAAAAAAGAAAGAAAAAAAAAAGAACTGCTAACTGTTCCATTCAGGAATTTTGGTAAGAATATAACACCAAGCATTTCTCTACGACTAGTTTATGGAGGAAGACTYAACCTAGAGTTCCATCGAAAATGCTCTAAGGTGAAAAGTAAAAATTGTTTTTGAACCGATTTTAACTTGTGAGAAAGGATTTAAATACTTTAGACCAATGTTTAATGAAATTGAGATTATCATTTGCTTTCATATCATTTGTCTATATTAACTCCCAAATCAACAATGTTAAGAACATGCTCTAGTAAATAAACTTTTATTACACAAGGAGTRGGAAATCTAGATTTACGAGAAAATAAAGAAAAGTCATGGTCTTACATTCATGAGAACCTTGAGCAACCAAGCAATTGTCGTTCGATACTGATAAAGGCACCAAGAGCTACTCTATTTCGAGRTAAAGTATAATGAGGTGCTAAGAAGATATCCACCAAAGCCAGTTAAATTAATTGCATACGCAGACGACCTTATTGTGGTAACAGGCAAGAGTTTTCCCCAATGAGTTTAGAACTGGCTGAGCAAGAGACAGAAATCTAGCTCATAAGTACTAAAAAAGTGTAAAGTGTGGAAAGTATATCTCTTACCTTAGGCGAGTGTGAGATTCAACCACAGCCACAACTAAGCAAGCCTCACTCTTAAGGACGGTGAACCCACTGACTGATACCGAACATCCATTTGTGGATGGACATGCGACATGGGTACTGGGATTTAATCTAAATACTAAATGGACATGGGTATTTTAGAAGAAGCTTAGAAGCTGTCCGACGTATTCAGAGTGTTTTGAAGACTCTGAGCATTCACTTTTTCCCCCACACATTTTAAGCACAAGGGAAAAACTTAAAACTACACTTAGTGGGGAGAGTCTGAAATTGGGAGTAGGTTCGGTTTAGCGAATTGAAGTTACGCACGCCGGTTTCTGATGCTTTCCCGACTTAAAAAAAAACAAGCGACCTAATTGTTTAAGCTTTTTGCAACAGACACCTTTCATCAGTTGAACTATATGATTTAAAAATCTTTACATCGTCGGCATATAATTAAGTATTATATTTGAGAACTCTGTGACAGAAGAGATATTGATAATAAATAACAAGGACAGGATCGGGTCAAGACGACTATTTTGCSGAACACCGGAAGAGACACTAATTGAATCTGAAAGAGTTTCTTAAAATATCAATAGTTGTGTTCTATTATAAATATAAGAAGAGCGCTTAATTTGGACATACAAACTTTGGGTACTCGAATAATGTCGAATTTAACTCTTTCGATTGATTATCGAGGTCATGTAATTTGACTTCATCMTATTTTTTTATGGTCTAGCTAAGGGTATTTGTTTATAAACCAGCTGCGAACCAGAAKAAATCTTTGCTGAGCATATTTAAAAGAGGGAACGGAAATAGAGAGAGCCTTGCTACACCTATTTGCTTTACCAAGTCGATATTTCGAACTGCAACTGCTGGGATTTAGAGCGAATAATTTAAGCGACAAAACTCAAGTAAAACTGCAATTCTCTATATTCCGAATAGTATTGAATTTACAATAGATTTGTCGGAAAATAAGTGAAACATGTTATCGAAACGGTACATATCAAGGAAAATGATACATCCTATATACTGAACATAGAGATACAACTCCGTCGTAATAAAAACTTTTTTTGTGTGCAAGTGCTTTTGGGAGAATAAAAACGAAAGATACAACTCTGGGAAAATAACGATTTCCTTTAGCTTTTGAAAAATTACATGTGACGAGGGGCAGAATATTGTTTGTAAGCAACAAGGTATATATTGAATCAAAATTAAAAAAAAAAAAACTCAACTTTCAAATTTATCTGTAACTGATACTATCAGGCCGTTTAATATTGATAAATTCTGTCGCAGACCGATGATTTGCAAGTAAGACGACTGGTTCGAGTGCTACACTATAAGAACTAAATATCTGACATCATAAGCAACAATCAAATCTCACAATAGGCAACCCGACAACAAGGAGATTAACAGTTCTGCTCAGTTGAAGTGTAGAAAAGCGATTCTTAGAAAGATTTCTGGATACAATAGTTTCTGCGAGATTACGCTGCATAAGATTTATGAAATTAGATGTAGAAGCCGCTGCTGAGTACGACGATGATGAAAAGTGATTACCATTACCAACTGTTCTAATCAAATAGATTATATACATATAGTATGCACATGCGCAAAATATACGAGTCCATATAGCTCATTTAGTAAAATKACGTACTGGTATCTTGAGTGTGGGTAACAAGTACTCTCATGCATGTATGTATAGTCTAAGTACGCATATCTTAGCTTGTTCATTTACCGATGCGAAACGCGAAATGCGAAAGCGAATAACTTGGCAAAACAAATGACAATAAAAATATAAACAAACTGTTGACTTTACAAGAAAACGAGAGCAGACCATAAATAAACAATGCGAAGGCCAAAACAAAAGTTGAATAAAGCTGA